TATATACCTTCTTTATACTCCCTAATTTGCCGGTGCATTCGATGTAACAAAACGTTCGACACAAACACAACCGCCGTTCGAAATTACTCTTGCGTGGCACCCAGACGCAGGAGATTCGTGATGTAAACACAATGCGTTATAATAACAATGCGTCGCGCAAGCGATAGTGCCCGCTCAGGCGGGCACTATTGCTTCATAGTGCCTACTGCGTTATCCAATGAGATTGCAGCGATTTATCAGGTCATGCACTAATATGTGTTTCTGTGTTTGTAGCTAATGCAATTCGAAGCAATGCTCTCAGGAGGGCAGGATTCCTTCATCATGGTCACCAAACTGTGGATGAAAATCAAAAAGTAAGTTTGAATCCACATTGAATTATCGCGAAGTAGACATTGCTACTATGTGCTGGCTCGGCTGTTTGGCACATTTACATCGAATCATGTGCAAGGCTTTCTGCAAAAAGAGCAGTGTATACTGCAGGGTTTCTTGTGGCAGGGGCTCGGCACAGTGGCACACCACCATTGTCAAATTTAACATTGCCAGTTTGTGAAAATGCTCCTGTAACAATTTTTAACATTAAAATTTTTTAAATTTTGAGGGAGTTTCCCCTCTCCCTCTCTCCCTCCGCGTCCGCCTGCATTATCTGCATACGTGCCTACGGCACGGCACGCCTTTGAATCCATCATACACGTTTTTTTCCTAAACTAGCCATTACCTCCTTTGTCTCATTTTCCTTCAGAAGAAACCCTGTACTGTACATGTCTTTTACCAGACCTCTCTAATGTCTGCTTGCTCTTCTCCTCTGCATTTGTATATTTTCGATTTCTTGCTCAGTTGGTGATTCTGATACTCTAATCCTAAATTTCAGGAGATGAAATTGAAACATTGATTACTTGTTATTTGAAATTTTGTGTCGTCATTAATTGCAGGAGTCAGAGCTTGTCTTCACTGCCACTAGTGCGAGAGCATCTACCCACGACAAGGAAAGTGCTAGAGATTCTAAACGTTGGTGCTGCACAGTGCCCAGGCCACTGAGACGGTGCCATTGTTACGAACCTACCGTAGTGGTCAGTGCATAGAGTTTAGGAATGATACGCTGGGGTCGGGGGAGGTCGTGGAACAGAGTTGTTGCTTATGGATGCAAGTGTAGTTCACACACACACCCATCGATGTACCCACGAGCTGGTAGCATGCAAAGCAAAAATATCTGTTTACACTTTAGTGCAATCCAGATTAATATTTTATTTTTAAGATTTCGTGCATGGTGATGACAAAGTTGTGCATCACGTAGACATGCAATGATTTCATTGCTATAATCACAATACTCCTGCCTTTTCCTCCATGCCAGCTCTGATGTCAAGGATGGAAAATTAACTAAAATCAGATCAAATGTGATACATCACTCTTCTGTCATTGCATGAGCTATTGGACCGGTAACGTAAATTTACGCATTGACATGATATCAAATAAAGGAAGCCTTCTACCTAAAGTCTGCGGGAACGTACAACTGCAACTCGTAGCGATTCTGGTCGCTTGCAACGAGTTGCAAGAAATCAAACGGGTTTGATTTTCCACAACTCGTCGCTCGCAATCGCTTCGAAATCGCATGTGTACGGGTAATAGAAGTCATGGAAAGACAATGGAAAGACAAAAAGACAATGGAAAGAAGTGACTGCTGTTAACAGCAGTCGCTTGCATGCGCACACACGGTGAAGCGTGCGACCAATCGCATGCGGTTGCAGGTTGCAGCGACGAGCAACCAAAAGTCGCAAGTCTGCACTAGGCTTAAGCACTGCACAAACACATTTAATTTACAGTGTTATTAAAAAAGAAAATATGCACGTTTTATTTTTGTTACGTCTCTCCCGTCATTTCATGGAGCCTAGATAACCGATGAAAAGTGTTGATGATCATAACTTTTTAAATGGATCATTTTTCCTTAATAATATATAAATGCAGGTTCAATTATCTTCAAAATGGGTGTGTGTTGGACTATATAAACACTAGATGAGAGACAGCCTGTTCTACCCTCCCACAAACAATGACCATGTAGTGTGGGACTTTCTACTGTTTAGTACTGGGACTGTAGACTGGATCTCAACAGGCTCTAAATTTTGTACTTTTCTAATGATTTTCCTACCGTCGCTTATATGTATATATATATATGACCATTATATTACCATGTGTATAGGCTTTGTCGAATGGTTTACATGCGAAATACTGCACCTTTTGTCTCGTTAGTTAGCTGTTTAAAGCGATTTTTGATGTCTAACACCATGAGGTGAAACGCAAGGAAAAATTCATTGAAGTTACGCATCACGCTTCAGATTTCAATTCAATTCACGTGAGCAGTCTAAGTGGTTCTACGAATTTAGTAGATGTTCCGTTAAACTTTGTTCCGCATTTGTTAATGAAAGTTGGGGTTGAGTGAGAGTTGCAACCTCTGCAATATTTAAAAGTTTTTTTAAATTCAACCACAGAATGTTATACATCGTATGTTATGAACAGCGAGCGTTATGGATGGGTACCACGACCCAAAATCATGTTTTCTAATTCTTGGTTAAAATACTATTATATATTTTGTTAAACTCTAACAACGTGTTTTATGTTTTATTGGTACTTCCGCCCTCACACACGCATACGCACACGCACATGAACACACACAGTATTGACCATAACTTCTATCTTCCAGTGTTTTCCCCCATATAACACTATAGGGCTTACTCTCGCCTAGATTCTGATAGTTTAGACTAAGCTATATCAGGTTCATATTTAATAACGTTTTTGTATTTACAAGAATGCTAATCTATGGAAGTAATTGATCACCCATGATCTATGTGTCCACGTCTGAGGTATGTCTAGGCCGTAGTTGTCCCGGAAATCAAGTTGCATTTCTCATGTGGAGACATGAGAAGGGGGAACAGTCGACAATTAATGGGGCATGTATGCTTGCATATATAATAATAAATTTATAAATAAAACACGAATGCAGTTGTAGCCCAGTGCACAGGTGCTAACTCGTTTCACTTGTCGGAACAGCATGGATTTTTCCCCGACTCGTTCTCGTGTCAATAGCCAGAATTTCATTACAGGGATCGTACGCTGCCCTTGTAATAAATGGCTACTTAACGTGCTAGTTTTATGGGCAATAAGCCTGCTTATTGCATTTGCTACATAAAGCAGTTTGTGGTTAGCAATAGAAGACGCCTGAGATTTCCTCTGAACAATATAGAGTTGTATATATATGCGTGAATATTTATTCTACGATTCACACGAGCTGGTTTAGTCGCGCGTTAGGAATGTAACAGTTCAATACCGACATTCAGTCTGCATGAAATATACACGTTATTATCGACAGGTAGTTTACTTTTAGATTTAATTTAAAAGTCCTCTATTCGCCTCCTGCCATATAAATGATTGCACGGTTTCGCCATCGGTATACGATGCATGCAACCGTATAAGGATAAGAGTGTCTGTACTCTCCTCAGTAGTGACCAACGTGTGTTTGTGCGATCCAAGGCAACACGTATTTACCTGTTGCTATAATACCTGGCCGTCTGTGATTACAAGTTGCAAAACACTGGCCAACGCTAGGTAGCGTGGGTGCCAAGCACAGCGGTGCCTCAAGGTGGTCACTAAATAACAAACACCGATACTTATTACGCCGAGAAGGACAAGTGGAAATTTTTGTAACAAAGCGAAGTATCTGTAATGTTATGAGTGAACAAAACAGTACTACATGAGCTTCGAGATTTTTTATATTATCATAACCCACAACTCGTAAATTTCTATAAATTATCTATGTGCAGGGTTACGATTAAGATCCGGGTAGTGATTTTAGGCTTGATCTTATTTTAATTTTTAAAATAAGGGTATATAATGCCGAGTATACAAATTTATATCGTTCAGTATTTGTGAAGTTAGACTGGTGAAGCGATTAGATACCAACGCAAACATGTTATACTAACACAAACTACTCACAAACGCTCTACTCACAAACGGGTGTTTCTACTCACAAACGGGTGTTTCTACTCACAAACGG